TTTCTTTTAAGCCGGACGGTGCTACTAATGAGCTTGATGTTATATGTGCACTACAGAATTGTATCAAGGATATCAGGACTTGGATGACAGTTGATAAGCTCAAACTGAATGATGGGAAGACAGAGTTTTTAATAATTGGAACTGCTGCTCAGCTCAAAAAGGTTAACATCTCTAGTATTGTCATTGATCAAGATAGTGTTCCAGTAGTATCGTGTGCCAGAAATCTCGGAGTATGGTTTGATAACAATCTTAATATGTCACATCATATAAATAAGACTTGTCAATCCGTAGTATATCATCTTCATAACATTAGACGTATTCGAAAGTTTTTAAGCTATCATGATAGAAAGTCTGTGGTCCAAGCACTAATAATGTCAAGGATAGACTACTGTAACAGTCTTCTATTTGGTGTCACAGATGTACATCTGTCTAAACTACAACGGCTACAAAATACAGCAGCACGTCTTATCTGTTCTATCCCTAAACATGATCAAATCACTCCGACTCTCATCAAACTACACTGGCTTCCCGTTCGATTAAGGATCAAGTTCAAAATTGCCATGCTTGCTTTTAAATGTATCCATCAGTATGCACCTCTCTATCTTGTCGATCTTTTAAAAGTAAGAAAGATATCGTGCTATAGTCTAAGATCTAACGAAGGCACACTGCTTGAAGACTACAGTACAAAAACAAAGAAAACACTCGGTGACAGGGCATTTGTAACCTCCGCTCCAAAAAACTGGAATGAATTACCTATGTATATTAGAAATCTGCATAACTTTAGTATTTTCAAGAAATTAGTTAAGACTTATTATTTTGAAGAAGCCTTTAATGTAAATACTTCATGTAACATATAATCTATATAATAATCTTCTTTATATTTTTAGTTAGTAACCATTCAGCATAGAATAATTTTAGTGTAATTATGTTTTGTGATGCGCATTTGATCATATACTATAACATGTTAATTTGCGCAATATAAATATTAAATATTATTATTATTATTATTAAACCCGAGAAACTTGTATTAAAATTGCGCCGTGATGAATTTTCCAATTCGCCCAAACTTCGAAACGTTTATACTCTAACTTGGCTATACTTTTCTACATGACAATGACAGCTTAATCTTTCAGAAGTTTTCGTCGAAGTCATGGCATATAGGAAGTATCAAGAGCAACATTTGGACATATCCTGGTTCCCGATTGATTGTTTGTCATTGTTATAAACAAAATTTTAAATTTCGCCTACTGCATTGCTTTAGCACTTTATATACACCGATTGTTTGCTGAACATGCGAGAAGATGATCACAATATTATTCTACGTAAACATCGTGAAGTTCAACGCTATAGTTTCCAAAATATATCCACGCAAGTAAACAAATTTCAAGTTTCAACCCAAACAATATATTCCAATGCGTGTGCAAGGGGTTTCCCCAGTAGTTAATCTCTCAATAAGGCGGCTTCCAATTGGCTCTAACGTTTTTGAACACTGCCAGATGATTGGCTCCTAAAACAAAGGGAATTGAATATGCAGCTCGGGTAAGCAGACGGTAGTATTTCGTCGCTTGGCGTAAGAACTACAACGTCTGTGAGCAGGCTAGTATCAAGGAACCTTTCATAGGTTTATTAGATTGCAGTGACCTGTCTTTAAAGACTTATCGACGGGTTGTTCACAACACAACAGTTGATTTCAGCGAGAACAATTCACAACAGTTGATTTCAGCGAGAACAATATTGCTGTTATCGATATTAACAGAACTTTTACTGGTATTTCCCAACCTGCAACATATTGACCTTCGCAGTGCCGCCCAGAGGGGGGGGGGGCAAAGGGGGCAATTTGCCCCGGGCCCCGAGTTGCTGGGGGCCCCTGAAAAATTTTTGTAGGGGCCCCGCCTTTTTTGTGTGTTAAATATTTCCGCGCAAAGGACAAGATATCTGTTTTCTTGGGCTAAGTACCGAATTTTGGCCTAAAAAAATGAGATAAAGTCACTCGAAAGCGTTTGCAACGTACGCGTCCGGCAAAATTTTGCGTCCGAAAAATTTTTTTTACCTCTAAAATGGTACACTGACCGAAAAATTTTTGGCGACGGGGGGGGGGGAGGTCGCCAAAATAATATCCGGAAAATATTTTTTCGGAAAAATTATTTTAGGTAGGGCCCCCTAAAAAAAATTTGCCCCGGGCCCCCGCCAACCTCTGGGCGGCCCTGGACCTTCGCCAGAACCTTGCTCTTGATTGTAGAGCCATTCGGGATTCAAAGGTACGCGTTAGAAGTGATTGTATTTTCCCACCCTTTTCTGGACATGGTAGTACAGTGTTTGACACATCTTCTACGGTATCCCGTGCTGTTTTTGCTGCCACGGTAGGGACAGCATCAATGGATAGACAACTGAACAGTTCAGCATCCCCTTTAAAGTTGCGGTTTTCGACAACTCCACTTTCTGGACATGGTAGTGCAGTGTTTGACACATCTTCAATGCTGGTTACAAAAGCGTCTATGCTCATAACGACTGTAAAGGCATCATCAATTGCTAGACAACTAAATAATCCAGCATCCAAAGAACCGAAGCTATTTTTATTGTATGTCACATTGGGTCCGTTATTGGGATTTCTGTTTGTATTGTGTTTGTGCGGAAGCTATCTGTTGTATAAACGATGGTTGGCAAGGCGTCGCAACAGAAGGGTATCATTGCATGAACATCCCTCGGAAATAGAACTGATAGGTTTAGGACGTTTGGAACAGGGTAGCGGGAGCACAGGAGTGCCGCTCGACACTGCACTATGATTATATAAAAGCACACGTTTAAATTTGTTTTGTTTTTGAAATTGCGTTAACTTTAGTAAATCTTATAGTATGGTAGAAATTATATGTAACACATATTGTAACAACTGTCAATTTTAGTCCATATAAAGACTAGAACGAACAGTATGAAAATAGTATTATGTATAAGTAGTTTTGTTAACGTGAAAGAAAATGTTTTGACACTTGACAATTAATAATAAAGTAGGCGTTTCATGTACAGGCTATCGGATTTCTCAATCATAAAATTCCAGTACACATGACGAAACATGATCGCTTGAAGTGTCATTAGAATAGAATAGAAGCCTCATTAGCGGTTCTGACGGCTTACTAATCTCTACACGTGGTGTGCTTACCACGTGACCGCCGAGTTTATAGCCGCTACAATCTCGATTTATGTCATTTTGTCATCCACGGACGGGCCAAAACTAGCTGTTTTGATATTATTTTTTTGTTCCCGGGGGGGTTTGTTCACAACATGGCGACTGTTATAAACGGACAGAAATATAAAAATCATAAAATAATGCGAATTTCCATAAAAATTCCGAGTAATATTTGTGAAGATGAATGGGTAAATAAAGCACGGTGTTATTTTGTGTCTCTGGCGCAAGAATGATCGACAATATTTGGAATAATTCAGGTAAGGATGGCTTTATTTCGTTCTCGTATAGTGATGTAGTCGTGCCGTGTGCCCTGTCTACCTGTCTGGTGATATATTTTATAATACATGAAGGAATTTATATTTAAATCTGCTGTTTATACTTCTTTAGTCACTTTAGTGTATTAAACTTCGATATAGAGGCATTGAAACAATATGATTTCAAGAATATATCGGCAATTATAATACCCACTGAATCACTGATCTATTCCCGACCAAATCGACAGTAATGATTAATGCCTTTATGCTGATACAAGAAGCAAATGAACTTTTAGTTTATTTGTTTGTTATGTCACTTAATATGTGCAAAGCCAAAGGCGGTGAGTATATAATAGTGTTCTGTACGTTCTATTTTTAGATGTTTATAGTTTAAAAACAAACGCGGAATGTTGTTAAATCAGGCTTAACAAGATTCCTAGAGCTACCCATGCATTGTGGATTGTTGTCTGCATATATGGACTTATCAGCAATTACATGTAATATAGCATATCAACTGACTTTTGTATAAGATATGACTTGTATAAGACTGCCTCAGTTATATATAATGCCTATAAACATGATTATACTGACATACATTGATATATACATATGGCTGTGTTACCACAATAATGCTCACAACTTCAACTTCTTTCTAACAATATAGTTTTGCAGTTCTGACTGTTCTGAGTATGATCTTATTCATTCAGAAATATAAGCATTGCACTGTATTCAATGGCAAGCTATCCTGGATTCCAGAGCCTTCAGTTAATAATAAATTGAAATATTGTGAAGGTTCAACGGGAGGATTCTTTGATTAAACTGTGCCAATCACAAAACAGAATTAGCAGTTTTAGTACAGATTTTGGGCGTGTTAACCCATTAAGCGCCAGCACTCTCCCCTTGACGAGTAAAATCGTCTGGCATTAGACAGAGTAAAATACTGTTCAAAGTAGGGTGCATCAGGATGCAATGCGACTCAATGGGTTAATATAGTACATAACATAGGTCATAGA